CCGCTAAGGACTTACTGTCCCTCTTGGTACTGCCAACTCCCCAAATGCCTGTTCCTGCTGAGGTAGGGGACAAAGCAGCATGTAGAGCAGTGAGCTCCTCGGCGGCATTGGTGGTAATGGTGCCCTCTAGGGGCAAGCCCTGCATGACCCCACCGCATCAGTCTCCGGTCTGGCACCAGTCACTGACTCCCCATCACCAACTGGAGGCAGAACCCGGTATGGCCCTACCATGGTCTCTGGACAGAGTCCTCGTCGGAGTCCGAAGTGGAATATATCGTGCCACAAAAGAAGTACTGACCACCGGTATATACACTGGATTTCAGCGCCGCAGCTTGTCCACCAGGGTACTTGCCCATGCAGTGGCAATATTGGAACCCGTGGGGGTTCCCCTGGTACCGGGGGACCTGTCCCAACAATCGTACTCGGTGGCGCCTGATAGGTGAACTGTGGCACTGTCCCATCTGGCACCAAGTCCAGACTATCGCACCGACTCTGGCATGGAGATGGCTGAGTTGGTACAGAGAGAGGTGGGACACACTCAGGAAGAGGTACCAGTTCCTCTTGGACTGCTAGCCGCCTCCTCATCATCCCCATATGAGGCTGTGGCGGGTTCTTCCAACCTGCTCCCACCAGAGGATTTTAGAGTGCATCAGGAGCTCTTGAAGGAGGTCGCAATGAACTTGAAGCGGGAAGTGGAGGAACTGAAAGAGTCCACACACAGCCTAGTTGACATCCTGGTCACTGCAGCCCCCTCTAAAGTGGTCCTGCCAGTCAACGAGGCTGTGCTGGGGCCAGTCAAAATCCTTTGGCAAAACCCCTGTTCCCAGCCTCTTACATCTAAAAAGGAAGGAGAAGAATTATGTCCCCACAACAGGATTTGAGTACCTATATTCCCACTCCTTTTCCAGGTCCCTTGTGGTGTCGGCAGCTAATGAAACAGATAGGCAAAGACAGCCCAGTGCCACATCCAAAAATAGGATCTTTTTGGGAGAAAAGTTTATTCAACTTGCAGCCTCCATCTTCACACACTGAACGAGCAGGCCGTACTAGGGAGATAAAACTTTAATTTGTGGGACTCAGTGTCCAATTTCAGCGACTCCCTACCACAGGAGTTTAAGCAGGAGTTCACTGCCATCCTGGAGAAGGGCAAGACTGTTGCCAGAGCCTCTCTCCAGACAGCCCTAGGCGCAGCTGATTTGGCGGCGAGAACAATGGCAACGGCAGTCATTATGAGGCGGTGTTCATGGCTACAGTCGTCGGGCCTTTCTGACGAGGTGCAGCAGTTGGTCCAGAACCTCCCTTTCGAGGTCAATTCATTGTTCTCTGAACAGATGGATGACAAGCTGCACGGCCTGAAAGATTCAAGGGCAACACTGTGCTCCCCAGGCTTATACACACACCCAGCGTCCAGTAGGAATTTCCGTCCACAACCATCTCCCAGGTTCTTGGGGCGTCCCAGACATGAGCCCTATAGCAGTGGTTCTCAAACGTTTGTACTGGTGAACCCTTTCAAATAGCAAGCCTCTGAGTGTGACCCTCCCCCATATAAATTAAAAACACTTTTTAATATATTTAACATCATTATAAATGCTGGAGTCGAAGCGGGGTTTGGGGTGGAGGCTGACAGCTCGCGACCCCCCACGTAATAACCTCATGACCCCCTTAGGGGTCCCGACCCCCAGTTTGAGAACCCCCGCCCTATAGGAAGAAGGGCCATGGCTATAAATGCTGACAACTCCAGCTGTACACCTCAGCCTCACAGTCGGGCTCGGGTAGATCCCCCAGTGGGTCTAGACAGGCCTTTTGAAGGTACACCTGAGAATGGCATTACAGACTCGACCCAGGATCCATCCCCCCCTTTAGTTTTGGGCCATTTGTTTCCCTTCTGTACAGCATGAAGTAGGGTGTCAGCTGGGTAGACCCTCCAGTTTTTGTCCCTCCCTCTACATCCCTCTTCAGGGATTCTTCTCATGAGCAATTTCTCATCTAGGGGGTGGGAGTTCTCCTATGGGTGGGAGCTGTAGAGGAAGTTCCTCAATACTTGACAGGGAAGGGGTTTTACTCCTGATATTTCCTAATCCTGAAGGCCAAAGGGGGCCTCAGGCCCATTGTAGACCTGCATCGCCTCAACAAATACCTCAAGAAGTTGAAGTTCCACATGATCTCCCTGGCCTCCATCATTCCCTCCCTGGATCCATGAGAATGGTATGTCACCCTCGATTTAAAAGATGCGTATTTCCATCTTCCGTGGACACAGGAGATTCCTCCGTTTCGTCATGGGCCAACACCTTTACCAGTTCACCGCTCTTCCCTTCAGACTGTCAGCAACCCCAAAGGTTTTCACAAAGTGTATGGTGGTGGTTGCAGGTTACCTGAGGCATCGAGGTATCCACATCTACCCATACCTTGATGATTGGTTAATCAAAGGCCACTCGCAGGCTCAGGTTCAGAGCAGCATTGACCTAGTGCGGGCCACATGTCAAGAGCTGGGCCTGCTAATAAACAAACAAATATCGACACTAGTACTGATTCAGGGAATAGAATTTATAGGAGCGGTGTTAGACTCTATGCAGGCCAGAGCATACCTGCCGGAAGCCCAGTTCAGAATGATGTCAGAATTAATAGCCTGTGTCACGACCCACCCACTCATGACTGCCTGGAATCTGCAGGGCCGCGACATGATCATCCATTCATTCTTTCGCATCCCACTATGCCAGAAGTTCTCAATCTTTTTCTTTCTGAGGTCTCCCCAACATGCTATAAAAACTCCCGAGGCCTCCTGTGCCACAATAACTGGTTTTCTGCATATAAAAGCCAGGCTCACTGTTATGCAGTAGCAAGCAGGGCAGTTGCCTGGAGCCCCATGCCACAGGGGCCCCCGCGAAGCTCAGGTTTCAGCTTCAGCCCCAGGTGGCGGGGCTTAGGGCCCTGGGCTTCAGCTCCATGTAATGGGGCTTCGGCTTTCTACCCTGAGCCCCAGCAAGGGGGGAAGGGATAGCTCAGTGGTTTGAGCATTGGCCTGCTAAACCCAGGGTTGTGAGTTCAATCCTTGGGGGGCCATTTAGGGACCTGGAGCAAAAATCTGTCTGGGGATTGGTCCTGCTTTGAGCAGGGGGTTGGACTAGATGACCTCCTGAGGTCCCTTCCAACTCTGATATTCTATGATTCTAAGTCTAATGCTGGCCCTACTTGGTGGCCCCCCTGAAACCTGTTCACGCCACCTCCCCCACCAGGGGGCCCTGGACCCCTGGGACTCACCTAGCATGGAATTAACATGTGCAAGCACTTGAAGAAGAAAAAACGGTTACCTACCTTTCGTAACTGTTGTTCTTCGAGATGTGTTTCTCATGTCCATTCCATGACACACCCTCCTACTCCTCTGTCAGAGGTACCAGAAAGAAGGACCTGAGAGGGTGTGGGGCCAGCAGCACCCCTTATACCAGTGCAAATGCGTGGGGCTCCACGGGGCACTAGGGCTGGCCCTACAGATACCACTAAGGGGAAAAAAATCTCAAGCAACTGTGCCCATGTCGCATCACACCCTAGCATGGAATGGACACGAGAAACACATTTCAAAGAATAACGATTATGAAAGATAGGTAATTGCTTTTTCTAGTGATAATGCATGAGACTGAAAGAACTCAGTGTGATCTTCAGATGCCAGAGTGCAAAATTGTGGCACTTAGAAAAAGTCTTTGCTTTTGAATTGAGAGAATTTGATCTGGTAGTCGCTGAAAGAAAAACCTGGATCTTCAAGGTACCATTTTACAGAATCTCTTTTCAGATTGAAGTTGTGCTTTAAAGATCCTCAGCTTTTGTTGGTGTTCTTAAAACATACATCTAAATATACTTAAATATTTTGACTTTGGTTCATGCAGAAGCTTTCAAGCCAGATGCAGTTCACTATTCGCTGTTTACTAATTCACAATTTACTAATGACATAAAACATACCTTTAGACAAACAGGCATATCCGTTCAAGTATTTTATGTGCTGGTAACTGATGGGACAAGCATGAGCCTAGATTGGACTCTTTCTATTTAAAATACAGTGAAATCAGATTACTGTGTTGATTGCTGAAAAACTGGAATAAATGAATACTTTGTATACAAGGTTAGAAACAGCTGGCTCTTTGATTTTAGTTTTAGACACTTCAACAGTACAGCCAGTTTTGGATATGAATAGTCTGTCTTCAGTTGACTTTCCAGTGCTGACTGCCACTTTAATCCTTAATTCCTTCAGGAATTTGGTGACTCAAATAACTATAATAGATTAACTCATAGAAAACGTTAAATTACTATATATAAAAATTCTATATTCATAAGGAACAAATTAGATACAATCATAATAAAAGCAAATCTGATATATTATTACTATTTATTATTATTACCACCATAGTGTATAAGAGCTGTAGTCCTAGAACAGGACCCCATTGTGCTTGGTGCTGTGCAAATACAGAACAAAGACAGTCTCTGCTCCAAAGAGCTTACAATCTAAGTAGAAGACAAGATGGATACAATCAGATGGGGGAATACAAGGAAACAGTGAGACAATATTGGTTAGCATGACAGGCAGTGGTATCAACGCAACAGTGGCCTAAGCTTTCTCAGGTTTTTTTGTAGGCTTCACGGCAAAGGAGAGTTTTTAAGGAGGGATTTGAAGGAGGCTAATTAAGTAGATTCATGGATGTTTATGGGAAGCTCTTCATAGTAACACTCATCCATCCAGTATCCAAAAACCATGTATGCCATCCTTTGCTATGCTATGTCCAACATAGATTATATTACTCTTTGGGCAGGCACTTGCCATCTCTATTTGTAAACAAAGCATCATACATCAATTATGGTGCTGTAGGACCTAATAGATGTGTGGCATAAAGGACCAAAAGTAAGGATTACTGATCCTGGAATGCTCCAAGAAGTTTAAGAGAAACTTTCTGTGAAACTTTATGAAAGCTTACAGTTTTATGTTGAGGATGAGTTCATTTATTCTTTATCTTTAGGTGAACAGTGTTTGCTTAGAAGAAGTTACACATGAAGAAGCAGTGACTGCCTTAAAAAACACATCTGATTTTGTTTATCTGAAAGTTGCAAAACCCACCAGCATGTTCATGAATGATAGTTATGCCCCTCCAGACATCACAAACTGTAAGTTTAGCTTGTCTTTACTACTTAGCTCTTAATAGACATACCTGTCTTTAAAGTTTTGGTTAACACAAAATATTTAACATATTTTAAAAATTTTTTATTCTATTAGTTTTAAAATTAAGAATTTTATTGATGGGAAAATCTGAGATTGGTATGAAAATGTTATCAGAAGAATTATAACAATTAAGCGGAAAGGCATCATGGGCTAACATGTTGAGCATGGGTCTACAGTCAGGAACTCCTGAGTAATAATTCTTGCTCTACCATTGGTTTGTTATGCCTAGGGCAGGTGACTTAATATTTCTGCCTCAGTATCAGATTTATATAATGGGAATACGGCTTCCCTCTGATGGATACTGTATTGTAAGGGTTATTTGATGTTCATAAAGCAGTGTGTGCGTGGTGTGGTGTTTGAAATGAGTAAGGGGATAGAATATTGTTTTGGGTAGAATTTAATGACATTTTAACTTTTCATTTTGCTTGTTTTTCTTGCATCCAAATTTCACCTGCTCAGATTTCATAGAGGTCTGAACTTTGCATATATTTCCACTGAGTCTCTTTAATGGACAAACTAATGTACAAGGATTAAATAAGCAAAGTTTTTTTTTCAAATTCATTAATGAATATCTGAAATTGAAATTCTCCAATTTTTTCAGAAGTTCATCTCAGCTCTAACATGATTATTATAATTCCCAGACAAAAAACAAAGCAAAACACGTTAAGCTGGAGTTAAGGTAGAGGGGGAATGACCCAGTAGCTGAAGAGTAAAACATCTTACAAATTGTTGTGACTATCACAAAAAAAAATATTCCAAACCCAGAAACTAGATTTTTCTTTTAAGTTTATCTTAACTCTGAACATGTGATTATTCTCTCTCCTGCTTTTCCCCAATGGAGACACAACATCACTTCACACACAATTCTCCTTTGGGAAGAGTTTGAGCTAGAGAATAAACCTTACGTGACAGATGCCTGGTCATTTCGCTTAATGCTCCATTGGAAAGATCTCAAAATTTACAGCAGTATACGTGATATAGGAATCTATGCAGAGTAGAAGTATGGAAATGTACAGTTAAGGTACTTGTTACACTATAAGAACATAAGAATGGCCCTACTGGGTCAGAGCAAAGGTCCATCTAGTCCAGTATCCTGTCTTCCGACAGTGGCCAGTTCCAGGTGCCCCAGAGGGAATGAATAGAACAGGTAATCATCAAGTGATCCATCCCCTGTCACTCATCCCCAGCTTCTGGCAAACAGAGGCTAGGTACACCATTCCTGGCCATCCTGGCTAATAGCCATTGGTGGACCTATCCTCCATGAATTTATCTAGTTCTTTTTTTGAACCCTGTTATAGTCTTGGCCTTCACAACATCCTCTGGCAAGGAGTTCAACAAGTTGACTGTGCGTTGAGTGAAGAAATACTTCCTTATTTGTTTTAAACCTGCTGCCTATTAATTTCATTTGGTGACCCCTAGTGCTTGTGTTATGAGAAGTAGTAAACAACACTTCCTTATTTACTTTCTCTACACCAGTCATGATTTTATAGACCTCAATCATAGCTCCCCTTAGCCGTCTCTTTTCCAAGCTAAAAAGTCCCAGTCTTATTAATCTCTCCTCATACAGAAGCCGTTCCATAACCCTAATAATTTTTGTTGCCCTTTTCTGAACCTTTTCCAATTCCAATATATATGTGGGCATACCATGGATTTATATAGAGGCAACATGATATTTTCTGTCCTATTATCTATCCCTTTCTTAATGATTCCAAACATTCTGTTCATCTTTTTGACTGCCGCTGCACATTGAGTGGATGTTTTCAGAGAACTATCCACAATGACTCCAAGATCTCTTTTTTGAGTGGTAACAACTAATTTAGACACCATCATTTTATATGTATAGTTGGGATTATGCTTTCCAATGGGCATTACTTTGCATTTATCAACATTAAATTTCATCTGCCATTTTGTTGCCCAGTCACCCAGTTTTGAGAGATCATTTTGTAGTTCTTCACAGTCTACCTGGGTCTTAACTATCTTTAGTAATTTTGTATCATCTGCAAATTTTGCCACCTCACTGTTTACCCCTTTTTCCGTATTATTTACGAATATTTTGAATAGGACTGGTCCCAGAACAGACCCCTGGGGGACACCACTATTTACCTCTCTCCATTCTGAAAACTGACCATTTATAACTACCCTTTGTTTCCTATCTTTTAACCAGTTACCAATCCAGGAGAGCACCTTCCCTCTTATCCCGTGGCAGCTTACTTTGCATTAGAGCCTTTGGTGAGGGACCTTGTCAAAGGCTTTCTGAAAATCTAAGTACACTATATCCACTGGTCCTTGTCCACTTGCTTGTTGACTTCCTCAAAGAATTCTAGTAGATTGGTGAGGCATGATTTCCCTTTACTAAAACCATGTTGACTCTTCCTGAACAAATTATGTTCATCTATATGTCTGACAATATTGTTCTTTATTATAGTTTCAACCAGTTTACCCGGTACTGAAGTCAGGCTTACAGGCCTGTAATTGCCAGGATCACCTCTGGAGCCCTTTTTAAAAATTAACGTCACATTAGCTATCCTACAGTCATCTGGTACAGAAGCTGATTTAAATGATAGGTTACAGACTACAGTTAGTAGTTCTGCAATTTCAGATTTGAGTTCCTTCAGAACTCTTGGGTGAATACTGTCTGGTCCTGGTAACTTTTTACTGTTTTTAGTTTATCAATTGTTCCAAAACATCCTCTAATGATGCCTCAATCTGGGACAGTTCCTCAGATCTGTCACCTAAAAAGAATGGCTCAGGTTTGGGAATCTCCCTCACATCCTCAGCCGTGAAGACCAATACAAAAAATTCATTTAGTTTCTCTGCAATGGCCTTATCGTCCTTGAGTGCTCCTTTAGCACCTCAGTCTTCCAGTGGCTCCATTGGTTGTTTAGCAGGCTTCCTGCTTCTGATGTACTTAACAAAAAAAAATTGCTATTATTTTTTGAGTCTTTGGCTAACGTCATCAAATTCTTTTTTGGCCCTTCTAATTGTATTTTTACACTTTATTTGCCAGTGTTGATGCTCCTTTCTATTTTCCTCACTAGGATTTAACTTCCACTTTTTAAAGGATGCCTTTTTGCCTCTCACTGTTGTGACGGGTTGAGTCAAGAAACCCCCTTGGGACTACCACCTGATGTGCTGAGACTACCTCTGAGCCCGTTTTCCCTGCCAGCTTGGGACTTCAGTACCCTGTCTTGTTGAGCCAGACACGCTAGCCTGCTGCAAACATAGACCCAGGTCTGAACCACATCCCCCAAAAGCTGCAGACCCCAAATAAATCCGTTTTACTCTGTATAAAGCTTATACAGGGTAAACTCATAAATTGTCCACCCTCTATAACACTGATAGAGAGATATGCACAGCTGTTTGCTCCCCCCAGGTATTAATTACTTGCTCTGGGTTAATTAATAAGCAAAAAGTGATTTTATTAAATATAAAAAGTAGGATTAAAGTGATTCCAAGTAATAACAGACAGAACAAAGTAAATTACCAAGTAGAATAAAACAAAAACACGCAAGTCTAAGCCTAATACAGTAAGAAACTGATTACAGATGAAACCTCACCCTCAGAGATGTTCCAATAAGCTTCTTTCACAGACTAGACTCCTTTCTAGTCTGGGCCCAGTCCTTTCCCCGGTACAGTCCTTTTTCCAGCTCGGGTGGTAGGTAGGGGATTTCTCATGACTGCAGGCTCCTTTGTTCTGTTCCTTTTATAGTTTGCAACAAGACGGGAATCTTTTGTCTCTCTGGGTCCCCACCCCTTCTTCTAAATGGAAAAGCACCAGGTTTAAGATTGTTTCCAGTACCTGGTGACATGGACTATAAGGATGGATAGAAAGCTGGCTAGATCGTCGGGCTCAATGGGTAGCGATCAATGGCTCCATGTCTAGTTGGCAGCCGGTATCAAGCGGAGTGCCCCAAGGGTCAGTTCTGGGGCCGGTTTTGTTCAATATCTTCATTAATGATCTGGAGGATGGCGTGGACTGCACCCTCAGCAAGTTTACAGATGACACTAAACTGGGAGGAGTGGTAGATACGCTGGAGGGTAGGGATAGCATACAGAGGGACCTAGACAAATCAGAGGATTGGGCCAAAAGAAATCTGATGAGGTTCAACAAGGACAAGTGCAGAGGCCTGCACTTAGGATGGAAGAATCCCATGCACTGCTACAGACTAGGGACCGAATGGCTAGGCAGAAGTTCTGCAGAAAAGGACCTAGGGGTTACAGTGGACAAGAACCTGGATATGAGTCAACAGTGTGCCCTTGTTGCCAAGAAGGCTAATGGCATTTTGGGCTGTATAAGTAGGGACATTGCCAGCAGATCGAGGGATGTGATCATTCCCCTGTATTCGACATTGGTGAGGTCTCATCTGGAGTACTATGTCCAGTTTTGGGCCCCACACTACAAGAAGGCTGTGGAAAAATTGGAAAGAGTCCAGCGGAGGGCAACAAAAATGATTAGGGGGCTGGAGCACATGACTTATGAGGAGAGGCTGAGGGGACTGGGATTGTTTAGTCTACAGAAGAGAAGAATGAGGGGGGATTTGATAGCTGCTTTCAACTACCTAAAAGGGGTTCCAAAGAGGATGGATCTAGACTGTTCTCAGTGGTACCAGATGACAGTACAAGGAGTAATGGTCTCAAGTTGCAGTGGGGGAGGTCTAGGTTGGATATTAGGAAAAACTTTTTCACTAGGAGGGTGGTGAAGCACTGGAATGGGTTACCTAGGGAGGTGGTGGAATCTCCTTCCTTAGAGGTTTTTAAGGTCAGGCTTGAGAAAGCCCTGGCTGGGATGATTTAGTTGGGGATTGGTCCTGCTTTCAGCAGGGGTTTGGACTAGATTACCTCCTGAGGTCCTTTTCAACCCTGGTATTCTATGATTCCTGTGAGACCCCAAGCCTTCATTCTTCCCAGCCTGACTCACAGGAAGTCTTGCAAGTAAACAGAGCCA